TTATTATCTTTGTGTATCAACACTTTGATAGACCACCTTGTGCAAATGGGTTCGCGTGGTTACAGTTTCTAGAAGATTGGCTCTGATGGCTGAACGAAGCCGGACGAGGGCGATTCGCTGTCTTCTATATGTCACTTGCGACTTATCTCCTTGCCCATTGTGGACGGGACACTTGCGACTTATCTCCTTGCCCATTGTGGACGGGACACTTGCGACTTATCTGCCCATTGTGGACGGGACACTTGCGACTTATCTACTTGTCCATTGTGGACGGGACACTTGCGACTTATCTACTTGCCCATTGTGGACGGGTCATTTGCGACTTATCTCCTTGCCCATTGTGGATTGGACACTTGCGACTTATCTACTTGTCCTTTGTGGACGGGACACTTGCGACTTATCTACTTGTCCATTGTGGACGGGACACTTGCGACTTATCTCCTTGCCCACTGTGGACAATATACATATCCCTACTATGCTGTCTGTATGAATTTGGAATTTCTTCTGTACACATATTAAATTTAATTAAATTTCTTAACGTTGTTCATGAAAGGACAATTTCAGTCATAAAATCAAAGGCTTTAAATTGCTGCTTCAAGCAGGGACAAGACCAAATCAAAATTGCCACTCTTAACTTAATATACTGAGTCAAATTAAAAACTTCACATTTTTAAAAGTAATCCCATATATGATATACAACGGACAAATGTATCAGAGAATGTAATTTTTAATCATTAATGTCCAAAGAAGGATTTTAATTAACGGTGGTAACCATAATTTGTTCCAAGCACCTACGGTATTCGGTAATTACATCAACAGTTTAAAACATAAGTCCCAAGCACGAGAATCTGATGGCACACAAGTTCAGTAGCGTGTATGGCAACCATGTGCGTTGACAACTACCACACAACGCCTCCGCATGCACCTTGTGATGCTTGTGAACACATGATGGAGAGTGCGCAGACTTCTGCCAAGAACATCCAAGACGTGTTCGATGGGATTGAGGTCGGGAGACCTTGAAGGCCAGTCCATGACGTTGACTCCCGCATTCTGAAGGACTGAAGGAAATTCCTTGTCAAAACTGCTGAGTAAGGGTCTGGCATTGTCGTGTTGGAAGATCAAACCGGGTCCATGTGCTGCCATAAAAGGCAGAAGTTCTGGTGCCAGTACCTGGTCGCGGTAAGCAGCAGCGTTGAGGTTGCCACGGATGACAAGAAGCCTGGAACGTGCATTGCCACAGAAAGCACCCCACACCATGACACTTCCGCCACGAATTCTGTCAACTTCCTGTACACAACACTGGGCGTAACGTTCATGACGGCGCCTCCACACCCTCGCCCTACACTCAGCAAATCGAAGATTAAATCGGGATTCATCACTGAAGACGACTTGATTCCAATTCCTCTGAGTCCATCGTCAGTGTCGCTGTGCCCACAATTGACGTTGACGTCTGTGTAATTGAGTCAGAATCGGCCCGAAGTATTGCCGTCGTGCTTGAAGGTGAGTTGTGTAGCCGTCAAAAATCGGTTACGGAGGTGACGTAAGACAATCTGACGATCCTCTGCATGTGACGTCACACGTGGTCGACCTGGTCGAGGGCGATCAGCGGTGGTACCCGTTTGTTGTAGACGCGTCTGTAAATCCTAAACAGTCCGTCGACTACAACCCATCGTCCTTGAGACTTCAGCTACGGACGTTCCCGTCTGCAGCATGCCGATGGCACGTTCACGTTGCACATTTGAAAGGCGTGGCATGACAAATGTCCGTAAAGACTTTTGTTGTCTTGTGTTTATCTTTTTTTGTAAATGACTGCTAACAAGTATTGCTGAAACACGTGCGGTATTATGGCCACGTGACCAGTTGCACGTGAAAAAACACTTTTGCCAATATGGTGCTGTGCACATGATTTTGATCGATTCACCTGCACAAAAACGGGTGTTATCTGAAGACAATATATACGTGGCCATTACTGTTTAAATACACAATAAGGGCCCACAATGATAACTGGTCAAAATGTTAAATTTTTAGGATTGTGAAGCTTTTAATTTGGTTCAGTATGTTTTTAATTTGGTTCAGTATATATATGTTTGAGAAATTCATTGTTGAAATTATTAAAAACCAGAAACGAGAGGTTTTAGCATCAGTTTTCTTCATTTAATTTTAAAACTTGGGTTAAAAATAATAATTTCTAAATAAATGATGGTCAACTGAGAAATAATGAGTGCAATTGCCTACCAAGTATATTTGTGAGGTATCAGAGAGATTCAATACTTTGACAACAGGAACAAGCAAGACCTGCCGTAACGCCTACATTCTACTGTAACAATCGGATACAGTTATCGTTCTTGTGTTCACATGGATAAAATGAAGCCATACTGGACCCAGACCCGTGAAGATCCAGGGTAGAATAGGTCTTCGCAACCAATGCTTGCCGTAAAAGGCGACTATGCTTGTCGTTAAAGGCGACTAACGGGATCGAGTGGTCAGGCTCGCTGACGTGGTTGATGCATGTCATCGATCCCAATTGCGTGGATCGATGCTCATGATGTCAATCACTGGATTGTCTGGTCCAGACTCGATTATTTACAGACCGTCGTCATATAGCTGGAATATTGCTGGGTGCGGCGTAAAACAACAAACCAACCAAACCAACCAACCCAGCCACATCAAAATAAACAAGAGCCCCCAGAAGATGACAAATCCCCCCAGCCCCAAACAATTTGGAAAAAAAAAATCATCTGACTTTTATGTGATAAGAGAATTTATATTTAAACTGTCCGCATACAAGAGCAGCTATTGAGCTATCAAAACGATGGAATTGGGATTCAGAACTTATTTCAATGTCAGGTACACACCAATATGAACAGAGTCAAAGTTGTTGCCATGGAAATTAACAAAATATTAATTCTAATTAGACAGACTCACCTAAAATAGATATACAGATGAGGAAAAGGGTATTAAAATTAAAAAAACTAGCCAGTTAAGGCACTAAAGGGACGACTAATTCTGCTCTACATTTGAGGGCACAAGTGACCCAACTACCTAAGGCGCTGTCGCGTTAGTATGTGACGATGGACGTGGATGGTAGTAAGTTTGTTGGCTGTTTTACGCCGCTGTATGCGACAGTCTGTACATGATTAAGCCTGGATCAAACAATCCAGAGATTGACATGTTGGGCATCGCTCCACGCAATAGGGATACAATGAAATACAATCAACAATGTCACCGATCTTGACCAGCTGATTCATTTATTCGCCTCTTACAACAAGCATAGGTTGCAGGGGTTTGTTAGTATGTGACAAGGCGGGCTTTCTTAACAACCCAAAGGGGTTAGAATATGGCAAGCTTAAATGTAAGCACAGGATGTCACGAACTTACGAGATAATGCCAGGAATCAATCGAGGATGGCCCCAGTCAGTGACTAGTACTGATTCAACCGAACACGACAAAAACATGTGACCATGGTCAGATATGCTTTTGTATCAAATCAAAATGAAAACTCGAAAACGTGGCAGGGAAGCCAGGCTCAAACACTGTAAAGGACCTTCTGAAAGTTACACGAATAGTGCCTGCTTTGTGGTCCTCCAGTTCGATCTTCTAAGGAGATGGCCTGACGTGCAGCATAGATATTGTGAGTATCCAAGCTTGTGTTTCGTTAATTCTTAAGTGGATGAGCCAAAGGACACGAGTGAGTGAGTGAATTGTGTTTAACGCCGCTTTTAACAGTATTCCAGTTATATCACGGCGTATCAGCTTAATGTGGGAGGAAATTCCGAAGTGAGCACGGGTATGGTGCTGACAAACCTAGAAACATAATCGGGGCAAACCGGGAATCGAACCCACAATAATAGGTTTATGGCGTGCCCAAGGGAGGCAACTCTGCAAAGCGAATTGCGGCGCATAAGACGACTGGGCAACCCTTGCGCCCCCGCCCCTCTCCATTTGATAATGTTATACACTTATGCACACTTATACTGATAGCCATAAGCTGTGGATTTGTTTGATTACAGCATTGTATGCCAATTGTATTGAGGATGTTCATGGTGTCGATCACTGGATTATGTGATCCAGGCTCGATTATTCACATGCCTCTGTCATATAGCTTGGATATTGCGGTGTAACACCACAAAGACACACATGTCAAACCAGAGGCCGATAATCATCCATAACGATAATATACAATGTGTCCGATGACACGTGGTAAGCAAGAGATCCCCGTTTTCATCGGAGCTTATGACAGGTGCGAGGTTCTGGCCGGCAAATCCTTGAGGGGTTTTCGTCACTTGTTTTACGACAACACAACAAATGCCAATAGCAAGCCAGGCAGGCTTTAGGTTGCTGTTGGTCCTGTCACATCTATTTAGTGTGGTTCATAATATACATTGTATTTAATCATCCTATTCCACGACTGTTGCCTCAGATAGACAGGCCGGGAATAATTTTAATATGACAATAAAACGGGTTTGGTGGTATAGGTTCAATAATAATTACAGTAATAGTTTTACCAATCCTTCTTGTATGGTTAAAGAGCCATAGTTGGTGAGACGAGTATCAGTACGTGTCAATTTATTTTGTCAACATCTCTAACGACAAGCATGTGATCTGCTGACCAACTCTAACCTGATAAGTACAATTGCGTGATGGAATCCACTCGGATCGAAAACTGAATGTGTTTTGAGTCATTCCCCATTGGACAAGAGTGTTTCACACGTCATAAGACATGATTGATTGATTGATTGGTTTGCTGTTTAACGCCGCACTCAGCAATATTCCATCTATATGACGGCGGTCTGTAAATAAACGAGTCTGGACCAGACTATCCAGCGATTGATATCACGCAATTGGGATCGATGACCGTCAGCGAGCCTGACCACCCGATCCCGTTAGTCGCCTTTTACGACAAGCATAGTCGCCTTTTACGGAAAGCATGGGTTGCTGAAGACCTATTCTACCCCGGATTTTCACGGGTCTCATAAGACATGATATACTTTCATACTTACATATGAAGAGAGTTAAAGGCGACAGCGTCCTCATCGTTTCAGGCCTTGGGTTCAGTGCAGGTGTAAGTGAAGCTTCTCTACTCCTACATTTCACCTGTGGAGTCGCGCAGCTTTTATAATCAGGTGTTACCTTGGTGCTCTTTGTTGACGGTGACAGCTATGACACGTGACAACTAAAAACTATTTTTTTATACAGCGCACGCCAATGATATTGATAATCCGCCAGACTTATCTGCTACTTTATCTCGTCGATGTTTAACGTGTGAAATCTGGTTATTTTTTAACCATGTTACTATTTTGGTGGGTGTGTTCGACCTAATCTTTACATATATCTGTATGTACACTGACGTCCAAAAGAAAGTACACCAAGATGTTTTGTGTCTGGTTATTTTATGAAGTAAAACATTGAAATGAAATCATGGTGAAATATGTCACACATATACATCGAAATGTTTACGATGAAGCTTCGCTTGAAAAAGTGTAACTTTTAATGAAAAATGCGCATTTTGAGAAAACACTGTCTGCACTCGTTGGACGAAATGCACGTGCAAAACTGGTATGAAAAAGCTTCTGACATCTTTATTTCGGAACATGGTAACCAAAAGGACACAAAATGTATGCCTCGTCTAATCCCGAAAGAGGGAGCCTCGCATGTCCCCATGGCAGGAACATTCCGTTTTTAGCCGTGTTTGCAGAACCAGGTTGGTGCGACGTTTACGGCAAACAGGTCAGCTAGACCTAGGAGTGGGAAACCACGAATAACCACGCCCATTGAAGAGATGTTACATCTCCGAAACCGCTTGATCCCACGACAGCAACGGCACTCGGAGGGAACGTGGTATCCGAGCACGTTCTTTCTTGCTTTCTTGTTTAACGCCGCACTCAGCAATATTCAAGTTATATGTCGGCGGTCTGTAACTAGTCGAGTCTGGAGATTCATTTCATGAGCATCGATCCACGCAATTGGGAATCAATGACATGCATCAACATTGTCAGCGAGCCTGACCACCCGATCCCGTTAGTCGCCTCTTACGACAAGCATAGTCGCCTTTTTCGTCTAGCATGGGTTCCTGAAGACCTATTCTACCCCGGATCTTCACGGGTCTCCAGCACATGTAACTGGATGATGGCATGACTTTGATCCACGACCAAACTTTTGGAAAGTGTATCATCTCAAGGGATGAGGGACAAATGGTTGGTGGGTTTGTTCTTTAATGCCGAACTCAGCAATATTCCAGCTATATGATGGCGGTCTGTAAATAATCAAGTCTGGACCAGACAATCAAGAGGGACAAACGGATCCATCCTTAAATTGCAACAGCCAGCTTTCAGTAATTCTGGACATGCGTCAGCATAGTCAGCGAGCCTGACCACCCGTTCCCGTAAGTCGCCTCTTACGACAAGCATAGTCGCCTTTTACGGCAAGCATGGGTTGCTGAAGACCTATTCTACCCCGGAACTTCACGTCGCACCGAGGAATGACATTGACGGACAACGGACATAACAGGTGGATATAGCTGTTGTGGCCGGGCATATTCTCTGGTGAGTGCAGGTTTTGCCACTTTGGTCGGCAGAGGTGAACACTTCGCTCAGAACTGTGTCCAGGAAGTTCAGCCATTCAGAGGCGGCGTTGCCATGGTATGGGGAGGAATATGTGGAAAGAATATGTGGATGGTTATCAGTCAAGGCAACACCATCAGGCGTTTGACGTCATCTATGCGGCGACGTGTTGCGGCCTGCATTGATCCACGAGGTACAATTTTAAACCAGTGATTTGTGACTTTGCTGTGACTTACGAGTCTGTTGTTACACATGCGTTTTGACAATGACGATCTCATTTTGGCGCCCTGTCTCTTTCTGCTACTCGTTACGTTTCTGCTTGTTTAGTGACATTGTGATCACGTGATGCTACAACGCGACTCTTAATACATATTTATGTTTTCTGTAGAACTCAGCGAAATGTAGCAATTATGTTCAATGTGTCTCCGTATGTGATTTGCAGATTTTGAACAGGATTTTGCAGACGCAACATTTTAAGGATCGGCCCCGCATAGGGCGCCCAAAGTCAACAATACAGGGTCGATTAATTAGAAACCAGGTTGAAAAAAATGGAACCCAAATATCCAACGCTGTTCACTTGCGACAGGCCACTGCAGTCCACGTTACTGACCAGTCGATTACAAATGGTCTGTATGCAGCAAATCTGCATGCTCGGTGACCACGACCACAACCGTTAACAAATTGACACATTAAAGCTAGACGTCAATTGTGTTTAAAGCGTAGAAACTGGGGGAATCGCCGATGATCTCGTGTTATGTTTTCAGATGAGTCCAGATTTACCCTGGACGTGTCTTGAGGCGTCCCAACGAACGTCAAGTGAACGTCAACGTAAGGCAGATTTAGGTGAGATGAGGTGAAATGGGGTTTAACGTCGCGTCCAAGATGATTGCACTTATATAGCGACGTGCATGCACGTGTATGTGTGTGTGTGGCTGCTTGTACTAGTCCGGACTGATGCCGATTTATAGTGCTAGCACACTGAGATACCATTCCGCAGTTTAACATGAATACCCCACTCAGACACAGTATACTGACTCCAAGCCAACCAGTCCTTGTTTTAGCCCCTTAATGCCGAGCGCCAGACAGGGTAACAACAAGTACCATATTTTAACGTCTTTTGGTATGACGGCTGGGGGCGGAAGCTCTACCATTAGACCACAGAGGCGGTTGCAGATTTAGGAGGTGGGTCTGTAATGGTATTGGGCAGAATGACTATGACTGTCAGAACTCCACTGCATATTATCCATTGAAGGGTCACTGGACAGTAGTACCAAGACATCACACTGGCGCCAGGAGTTATGCCGTTTGGTCCACGTTATGTCTTTCAACACGATAAAGCTCCTGACAAACGTAGACGAATCGTTACCGATTTCTTCCAGCAGCAAAACATCACCAGACGGCAGTAACCAACCATGCGTCCTTACCTTTACCCCATACAGCACGTCTTGGACATGACCTGGAGACGTGTACACCGACGTCAAAGGCCACCTGTTACATTAGCCAAACAGGGCCAGGCGCTGCAAGAGGAGTAGACAAATTGTCATTGGGAGATAGATTCGGACCATGCCACGCTGTATAAACCATGTTTGACCATGACAATCGTTTTGGCATGACCCATTATTTTACATTAAGGGTTGCGGGTTCACCTTTATTTCAACTCTTAACGTAATCTTTTTTACAATAAGGGTTGAAGTGATAGTTTATATTTTTTTTTACATTAAGGGTTATCACTATGAAATAATACTTATCATGAAACTTCGCAGAATTAATTGATCATCACTTTGTCTAGATGTGCAAATGACTAATCATTTTCAGATTCCCTCTCTACAACGACCACCTGGTTGTTATATTCAGGCTTCATAAAAGGGTTTATGACCCCTAACCCTTTTAACAGATTTGTATCAAACTTACTATTTTACATAGGTTATTTTTCGATACTCTTCAAGGTAACCTCGTTACTATCCTAATACCGTAACGACGGAAAGGAGGACTCAGTCCAAGCAGATCAGACCAAGTTGTAGATGGTGGAGGGTTGTTAGAAGTGTCCATTGACAGAGTTTGAGGCATAACATAATGGACATTTTGTTGCAGTATTACGGATATGACAGTTAAGCACACACCAGAATCATATGCTGTTTGGTTAAAAAAAAAAAACCGTACATGTCGGTGTCCCAAGTGCCGCGCCGAGTCAAATATAGCCATATGAAGTTGATATTTTTTTTCGGATATGAAGTCTATTCATCAAGAATATTTTTTTTACTTTAAGGGTTGTAACATGCGACCACTTACCATGTTCGTAGAATATGTTCCATATATTTTGTAGCGCTCTTTTGCCTTTTCTGCCCAATAGAATATGTTAAGGCAAATAACCGGGACTGGTTATTCTCTGGCGTAGACTTTATATATATTATAATGATATAAGTAGAGCAACATCCACTTATTTAATTATCCAACGCCCCAACGAAGTTTTCGGGGGATATTGAAATGGGTTCCGTCCGTCCGTGCGTCCGTGTGTGCGTGTGTGCTTGCGTCCCGAAATCGTTTCCGGAGCATAACTCAGAAATCCGTTAAATATTTATCTACGTAACTGTGCATGTCTATCCGACTCATGCTGAACTGGTGCCTTTTGCAATTTAGGAATTTTGGAAACTTTTTTGTTTTCGTTTCCACGGCAACAAGTCGGACTTAGGTTCTATAAGGGTGGTGTTCATTTCCTGAGCGTAACTCAAAAACTGTTAAATACTTTCTTACAAAACTTTACATGTCTAACAGTCACATACTGAACTGGTGCCTTTTGCTGATTAGGTATTATATAATTTGTTATTGTTCATGTGTCCATGGCAACAAGTCGGACTTAGGTTCTATAAGGGTGGTGTTCATTTCCGGAGCGTAACTAAAAAAATGTTAAATACCTGGTTTGGGACCATAACGTGTTAAAATGGGCGGATGACTTCGTCGACTACACGCTTGTTTTAATTGTATTGTGCCTGAGAGTTAGAACTTAACTATGCTTTATATATATATATATATATATATATATATATATATATATATATATATATATATATATATATATATATAATGTATAAATGTATTAATATATATGGAAAGACTTTTGACGAATTTGTTTAGGAACAATTGAACTGGAGTTTTTTCTTTCAATACGGCCTTGAGGTGCATATTCAAGTTACTTATCAAATTAGTACCTCTGTGACTTGTTTGAATTACCCAGCTATCCTCTTTTCCTCGGTGAATAAAGTCCTATCAGCCCCACGTGCGGTTTGCAATGCGCCTTTATCCGTGCTTATATTCCTCAGTAAAAAAGCTCCTAGCAACGAACCCTGTGACGATACTCAAGTAAGTCAGTTTACCCCACCTCGTGTACGGCAGGATTTGAGAAGTTGAGTATACATACAGCATTAGTCATGGCGATATTCTGTTGGGATTACACCTGTCACGCACAGGTTCAACGTTATCGTGTCAAGTGCGACGATCGATATACAGTAGAGACAAACGTAAAGTGGGAGTAAGTCGTAGAAGTTTGCC